GGGGGGGGGGGGGGGGGGGGGGGGGGGAAGAAGGGGAAAGGAAAGGCAAAATTCCTTTCTAAAATCAGAACTATGACAGTTGGTCAAGCAGGACCTTCTTTTCTTAAACCTGTGTTGGCTGGGCCTGATCCCCTGGTTATCCTGTACATTCTGTGTGATTGCATCAAGATAATCTGTTCCATAACCCTCCCAGGCACCAAGGTCAGGCTGACAGGCCTCTAGTTCCTTGGATCCTCCTTCCGAACTTACTTGAGGATGGGCGTCACATTGGCCAACCTCCAGTCATTTGGGACCTCTCTGGTTAGCCAGGACTGATCATAAATGACAAAGAGTGGTTTTGGCAAGCTCTTCTGCCATCTCCCTCAGTACCCTGTCATGAATCTCACCTGAACTCATAGACATACGAGTGTCTGTGTGGCTCAGCAGGTCACTAACGACTTCCTTCTGGATTATACAGGGCATCTATTCTGCTCCCTGTCCCTGTCTACCAGCTCAGGGGACCAGTTGCCCTAAGGATAACTGGTCTTACTGTTAAAGACTGAGGCAAAGAAGGCATTAAGCCTTTTTCTCATTCTTGGTTACAATGTTCCCCTCTGTGCCCAGTTAAGAGATTTTTCCTTCACCCTCCTTTTGTTGTTGATGTATTTATAAAAAAGTCTTTTTATTATCTTTCTCAGTAGTGGCCAGATTGAGTTCTAGCTGAGCTTCACCCTTCTAATTTTCTCTCTACATGATCCAACAACATCCTTGTACTCTTTCAGAGCTTCCTGCCCCTTCTTCCAAGGGTCATAAACTCTCTTTTCCCCTAAGTTCCTGGGAAAACTTGTTCAGACAGGCCGTTTTTTTTCCCCCAACGTCTCATTTTTTGCCACTTAGGGATGGCCTGCTCCTGCACCTTTAAGATTTTCTTCTTGAAGTATGTCCAGCCTTCCTGGACCCCTTTGTTATTAATGACTGTTTCCATCTGCTGGAAGTCCAAAGTAGATGTTCTGTTGACCCCCTCCCTTACTTCACCAAGAATTGAAAACTTATCCTTTTGTCATCGCAGTGTTTAAGATGATCTCCAACCCCCACATCTCCCACCAGCAGGTTTCTTCTCTGTTTGTAAACAGCAGGTTTAATGGGGAATCAGCCCTGACAGGCTTGCTTACCAGCTGTGCCAGGAAGTTATCTTCTACACAGTCCAGAAACCTCCTAGACTGCCTTCTCTCTGCTGCATTGAGTTTCCAGCAGACATCTGGCAAAGTCAAGTATCTCCCAAGAACAAGGGCTAGGGATCATGAAACATCAGCCAACCTCATTTAGAATACTTCATCTGCCTCTTCATCCTACTTGGGTTGTCTGTAAAAGACTTCCACCAGGATTCCTACCTAACTTGTTAGCCTTCCCCCTGATTCTTACCCATAGGCACTCAACCTTATCATCACTACTGTTGAGCTCTATGAGGCTGAAACACTCCCTAATGTACACTTCTTCTAAAACAACTCATAAGTTTTAATGGTTCAGACTCTGAATACAGGCAGAATTAGGCAAGTAAATTTATGAAAATTTTGTATTGCCATTTTATTTTTTTAGGTTACATTGCCATTCCTTGACAACGAGAAAATATTTTAAAGTTCTGTTTGAACTCACCCCACAAAAACTAATTATTGAAAGAACTAGTTATTTTCCTTCAGAAGAATAAATATTTTACAATTTTAAACAGACAATATTAAATAATAATGTAAATTATATGCTTCTTTAAAAATTGCACTTACCTTGATTAGACCAAGTAGAGGAGTGATTGTAGGGTATGGAATTCCAAGTTCTGCTTCATTATATCTCCAGCCATGAGCACATCACAGTTCAGAAGATGCATGAGGATGGGAAGGCACTACGAAGGGCAGACTGGATCTAAAAGAGAAAGGTTATAAATCTGGAACTTTAAAAGCCCTGTGAGTTCAACAGTTGACTTATACAGGGCTAAGATGAGTGTGCCATGAAGTCTGAGTCACAGAGATGCTGGTCTCTTTGTTGATGATAAAACAAAAAACTGGTGACTTGTTTAGCTGTGAATCTCCTCGTTGCTGCCCCATTGCTGAATGGGGCCATTTTAAAAGAATTGAAGTATGACTGCAGGGTTACTGTGTTTATTTAGCAGAACTGAAACAGCCAGCAGCACATAAACATGATTTCTTTACTGTTGCTGATAGAGATAACATAGGCTGTCCTTCCTGGTTTTCATGAATGAAGAACAGAAAGAATCAGGTGCTGATGTTCCCAAAAAAACACTCAGGTTTAATAGCACAAAAGTGTTATCCTTTCACCACCAGTAACTGAAGGCAATATTGATGATAGGTGCAATTACAGAGACTCTGCAGAGGAAATTCAGATGCCTAACCATCTTCACAGCATGTCAAGGTGACAGCGTCATGGTCTCTGGCACTCTCAGATTTATACCTGAAAAGTTTATTAACTATAGTAAGTGTGAAAGAAAGCTAGCATGTTTAGATTGGATATTAGTTCACCAAAAAAGAGTTATCAAGCATGGGAACAGTGAAGTGCTTGAGTCACCATCACTGGAGGTATTTAAAAGTCATGTAGCCACTTAGGAACATGGTTTAGTGATGGACTTGGAAGTGCTAGGTTAGCAGTTGAATGTGATGATCCTAAATGTCTTTTTCAACCTAAAAGATTCTACAATTTAATACTTTAATATTACTCTATGGAGATGTGCCGCTTCCACCTATCATACATGGAGCTACTTCCGATGCAAAAGCTTGTATGCAGTCTTTCAGTGGATTCTCTTGTTTGAGCTGCTCTTGCTGATTTCAGATTCTTGTGCTGTTCCCCTATTGACAGTCTAACATACTAGTTTAGAAATAGTTCACACCTGTAGAATGGAAACACAGACACATAGGATCCCACTCTTTTCACTAGAAAGAAAACACATCAGGATAGAAGTACAAGCTTCACTTTTTCTTGCTTCCTATCGTCAGCACCCTGGCATGCAATAATGGCAGGAAAGCAACTCATTTAACACAGACTTGAAACGGCTATTTTATTTAGACATTAGCAGGCAAGCATATTGTAGTTTTGTTTGTATAAATAACATTACAGCACCATAGAAAAAAGTAGCTTGCAAGGGACCTCTGGAGATCTGTAGTCCAACCTGCTTGAAGTGGCTTTAACTACAAGCTAGATCAGGTTGCACAAGGTCCTGTCCATGTGATTTTTTAAAACCTCCAGGGGTGTAGATCCTACCGTCTCTCTGGCCACCCTGCTTAACTGTTATAAGAGTGAAGAATCATTTTATCCTCTCCGGTCAGAATTTCTGTTGTTTCAGTTTGAGTCTGTTGCTTCTTGTTTAATTGTGCATCTCAGAGAAGAGCTTGGCTCATTTTTCTCTATAAACCTCCTTAGACAGTTGGAGATAGTAATGAGATCTAGTCTTCTCTTCTCTTGGCTGGATAAACCCAGTGTCTCAGTTTAATTGAGACAAGGGTCTTTTGCTGAGGATGGATTAGGAGAAAAAGACCCAAACCTTCTTTTTTAGCAATTATAGATTCGAAATTAAGAGGCTCCGATTGAAGGAAAGCAAATTATGGAAAAGGGAAAAAGGAAAAATAACAGCCCTTTATTAAGTATGTGTGTATTAACGTAACACGAGGGAAAAAAGGAAGGGAAAAAAAAACCAAGTAAAACAACCAAGCAATACCCCTATACCCACCAATAATCCCCTTCAAGAACAAAACCGATAAAACCGGCAAAAAAAGAAAATCAAATAGTTCAATTTTTAGCACTCTTTGGTGCAGTTCCAGCCACAGTCAGCAGGGGGCGCCGTCGCGTCACTGGAGATGT